TGGTCAGTTTGTATATGAAACATATGTAGTGTAATTAATGCTGATCATTTCTTAAAATTGAATACCCGCTATGTTGTGTCCACTATGCTGATCATTCATCATCAGTGTTTTTTTACTTTATCTTGCAAAATGTTTTTGAACCACCACCTATATCATAAAATTTTAAATGAACAACTTTATGATAATGCTGATGCATTAGTAGGTGGCCAACGGGTCTTTCAGCAAGATAACAACCCTAAGCATACATCTAGGGATGTTATGAATACCCACCTTCCAAGACATGTTCTTGCCTGGCCTTCATATAGCCCAGATCTCAATCCTATTGAGAAACATGTCAAAAAAATGATAGCAAAAAAAAAAAGGTTTTCAAATTTATGAGGGAATTGAAAAAAACATCATAGTTAATAGCATTGGTAGCATGCAAAATCGGTTTCAAGCATGCATTGATGCTGAAGGAGCTCATACCAAGTACTAACATCATAATAAAAGTTATAGCCATACTATTTGGCTTTAAGAAAAAAAAAATTTTTTTAAAATTTTTAATAAAGTACATTTTTTATTCATAAAAAATTACACGCCATTACTTTTGCCAGGGACTGTATCATGAATGTTGAGCTTGTTGCAAATCTTGTGATATTTCTGGTGGTGGTATAGAAATTTGTGGAGGACCCTGATCAAAAAAAATTTTATTAATACATGTTAAAAATTTATTTCAAATATTAATAAATATTAAATATAATAATTACTTTAGTTGCAAGTTGCCAAATTGTCATTTTTTGTTCTTTCATACTTTCATTAAATTGTTTTTCATAATTTTCTAAATCCTGTTTCCATCTTTTTTGAGCTTCTGGTGCTTGTTCTTTCAATGATTTAAATTGTTCATGAAGATGCTTATTTAAACTTTGCCTTTCATGAAATTTTTGTTCATATGGTGGTACCATTGATTCTTGCTATTAAATATTAATAAATTTAATAAACTTTTGGTATATTAAAAATTAGAAGAAAATAAAGCTTTACCATATGTGAACCACCTAAATATGAAGCTATATTGGCTAAACCTTTTTTTGAGTGTTTTGATGTTTCCCATTCTATTCGACTCTTTTCTTTCCATTCTTCTTCCCATTCTGCATAAGCTTTTGGGATATTTTTTTCTTTGTATTGTACTAGTATTTCACGAACATCTTGGATATTAAATAACACAAAAACTATTTTTTTTATTTATTAGAAATAAAGATGAAACTTTAATAAAAATCAAAATAATATATAATTGTCATTATACTTACATTCAAGAAATGGTATGATGTCAATCAAAAATGTATCATTAGGGTCGCCCTTCCAAGGAGGTACAGTAATTGCATTCTCAGGTTGTAATGAATAAGAGTCAGGATTAGAATCCATTATTATAACCTTGGAAATATCTCGATTTAACTTGGAAACATCCTAATAAATAAATAAAATATAGCATATCAGAATATATAATGTAATATATAAATGAAATGTTATTAATTAATAATACCTTAATTATTCTTCCTTCAACGTATCTTGTTGACTCTCTAAATAATCTAAAGGGGACCAATCCTAAAGGGTCTAGGTGACCCATTATTTGTTCACCAATCTAAAAATATAAATATAATATAAACATATATTTTTCTATATTTTTCTTTTTTCATGAGTATAATAAATATCAGGCTTACATGAGAAGGTTGAGAAGTGAAAAAAACCACTTCATATAAATTAGATATGACAAATAAAAAAAAGTCTAAGCCAGGACGTTTTGCAGTACGCCAACCATGTTCCCTCTATTATTTAATGGGTGTGTGTTAACTTGAAATAATTAATTGATTAAAGTTATAAATCTAAAATTTTTTTGAAATATTCATCTTTTGTTGTTTTGATTAGTTTTAAATATACTCACATCCCAACTGGAATAGATAAGTGTTTGATCTAAATTTATTACTAGAGTAAGTGGTGGACTATTTGTTACATCTTTATCTGGCAATAATTTATCTGATGGAGGTTCTGTGAAAAACTATATGTATATGTATAATCAATAATTAATATAATAAATTTCATTATTATTCTCATACTTTATCTTACATGGAAAAGATCTCTATTGCGTGCTTCTACTCGTTTATACCATGCTGTGAAAGAACCTAAATCTTTATACTAATATATAATAATAATTGTTACTGTTTGATAAATTTTTTGATTTAAATTGTTTTTTTTTATTCAAGATATTTACTTGATTCTCTCTATCTGTTTCAAAAGGCCGACCTAAATTATAAGAATAATGGTAAATTATTAAAACATTAATATATTTAAATAATAATAATAAATGAGATATATGTACCTGAGTATGCTATAAAAAATATCCCTGTACCTGCACCAACAAGTGATAAACCTTTAAGAATTTTTTTTGTTTTAGGGTCCAATGATTCAGAACTTGATTTTTTAGGTCTTTTAGGCCTTTTGATTGAAAGTGGTACTTGTACAGTTGCTGGTGTTGGTGTTTGATGTGATTGATTTGATTGTCTTCGAGCCCATATTAAACCAAAAGAATTGTTTTTTGAAGAATTTACACGAATTTTCATGGCATAATCTATAACTTTTTTGCAGCCTAAAATAACCATATATGCATATTATAAATTTGAAGATTAAGTAAATTAAAATAAACAAAATTATTAATTAATTGATTGATTACCAACTAAAATTTTTAAGTTTGACATTTTATCAATCAAATTAATCAATTTATAAAATTATGAAAAAAAAATCCTTAGATTTAAAATTAATTAATCACGTGTTGTTTGATGATCAAATAGATGTTGAGGAGATAGCTTTTTTAAAAGGAAAATAATAATTATCAATCACAAATATAATATGGCGCACATTAAACCGTTACTATTACTATTACTAATACAGCATATCAATACATAGTCCCCGGCGAAAGTGGTGGCGCGTGTTTTTTTACAAATAAAAAATGCAATTTATTATAAATTAAAAAAAAAAATAAGATATTTTCTTAAAGCCAAACAGTATAGCTATAATTTTTATTATGATGTTAATGCTTGGTATGAGCTCCTTCAGCATCAATAAATGCTTGAACTCGATTTTGCTATTAACTATTCTATCTTTTTTGATCCCTTCCCATTCCTCCCTAATTATACTAATAAATTTTTTTTTTGTGCTATCATTTTTTTGACATGTTTCTCCTCAAAATGATTGAGATCTGGGCTATATGAAGGCCAAGTGAGAACAAATCCAGATTGAAATAGAATTATGAACAGAAAAGATAATCAATATTTTAAACTCACAATTGAACTTACCATCCACCCACCAGCTCATCATTATGCATTTGAAATAATTTATTCATAATATAAATTGCAGTATCAATTGCATATGTTTTTTCACATTTGAAGCAATTAGCCTTGTGACTTATTGGTGCTTCCAAACAGACGGAACTATTCATAGAAAGTAAGTAACATGAAGAATTGGTTAACATACAAATAAGCACTTACTAATGCATTAATATTTGTTGAGCTATGTCATGAGCTTCATAGAAAGTGGGATCAAACCTTCCAGAAATATAGGTCTTATGAATGAGAGTTGGGACATGAGCACTGTCACATTTATACTCAGTGAATTGATCAATGTATTGTTTGAATTCATCTGAACTCAAATTTTTTTTCAAAGAACTTTATTCAAGTCATTTGAGTTGATCCTCATTAAAATACTTTTAACCTCTTCATCAATGAGATCTATTATATTGTTGAGGCATATTGAAGACATGTGATCATTTCCAGATAGTCTTTGTATACAACCAAGACATCAAGTGACTTATTACAAATTTCCACCTTGTCCTAGAAAATTAAGTATGGGTGTAGAGCTCCGAACGAGTCGTGTCGGGTCGGATCGGTGGTTCAACCCGACCCGACTCGAACTTTTAAACAGTTGACCCGTCCCGTCCCGTCGGGTCAACGGGCCACAGATTAAGAAAATTACAAATGTAGATATATTAATTGATTTAAATATATACAGTACTAAGATTTCTGGTCCAAACTGTTTTCTCAAAGCCCAAACTAGTTTGGGCAATTTGGGCTTCTCAACATTTTCTATAAGCATG